CAAGCGCTGCCCCTGGCCCATGCGCGGACAGAAGCACATGAAAACGTCTTTGGTTTGTACTTTCTGACGTTGAAACTTGCCTTGCCTTCATGAAAACCACACCAGTCATGTTGGCCCATTGTGCTGTCCTAACCCTGGGAATTCACTCTTCCCATTTCCTTTTGGGGCAACGTGTTTGTGAACAGTGACAACATCACTATGCTATGCAAACTAAGTGCTGAGCCCACTGATGTCACGTTTGGTGAAGATTTTACGTTTAGCACAGTCCTGTTTTCCTCAAGACCACAGTGTTTGGTTCATATCCTCCTTTGCATCTTGTGTCAACCTCCACTGCTGTATACCCTCAAGGTGATGGGGAGGAGACCAGGAACCATCTGTGGTCAGTAGGTAGGGAACTCTTAGGAAGGCTTTTAGAGCGTAGGGAACACATCAACACTTAAGTGTCAACATGAGAAGCCTACATTCCTCTACACAAGTGCCTGCATAGTGACACCAATCAGCACCTCCATCTCATCCTCCGAACTCTGGCTTGTGTTCACTGAAAGCAAAACAATCTCAGAGGGGCTGTTCCCGCTCACCTGGTGTTAGAAGGCTCCTCCTTATTTATAAAACCGGGGTCAAGGTCAAGGTTCTCTCTGCAAATCAGTTTGTTCACCAGCATTACACCGGAACGCACCTGGCTGCTGCTCTGCAGTGAGGGGCAAAGGTATTTTGGTTCCTTGTTTTTATTTTAGTGTTTTAGTTGGGTCTAGAATTCTGAAATGTCTTTTAGTAGCTGTGGCATAGCACGTGCCATTTTTAACCATTTGAAAAGAGATAGTGTGGGCATTTACAGAAACAGCTTGTTGCTCTGTAACAATTTATTTTTAACCTTGAGACTTGAAATGTAAAATGGACCTTTAAGATTTGCACTCATTTGTAAGGTGGCTGTTCATAGAAAACTATGAATGAAGACTTGCTGATGTAGCACCTACTTTTAACAGCAATTTTAACTACACAAAAGCTTCACAGCTTCTGAAACTCAGCTGTTGTCTTGCAGATCATGTTCTGACCTTATTTCCCCCTCTGTGTTGGGTTTTCATGATTTTGGATAAACAAAAAAGCCAATCTCAGTAGCTGCTGTGCCCCTTAAACCCTGTTTCCACTTTGAAGAAGTTTAGAGAGGTTGGAGTGACCTGCATGTTTTCTATACCAGACTATGCACCGTACCCTCTCCGCGCTCCAGCATTGGCATTTCTCCCCCTCTCTTGTCCGAGATGCAAACAAGTAGCTGCATGTTGAGGTGCGTTTTGCTGCCTGTAGCGGATAGGTGTTACCCCAGGTACAAATCAGGATCTGTAGTTAGCCACACACCCCACACGGGCATCCCGATCAGCTCCGAGTCTCTGCCTTCTCCATGCGCACGAGTTCCACCTGCGATTCGAAGTGTTGCTGAGTGCATGCAGTTCTGTGGGAAGAGGAGTAGCTTTCATTTACCTGTTGAATGCTGTCGTTTCCCTTACCTTGTATCTGAAAAGAATGGGGCGGGAGGGTTGCTCTGCCCTCTCCCCGAAGCTGCCAGGGCAGTCAGGGTGTTCTTGGATCGCACATGATGTCTCAAACAGCCCAAGCATCCAGCATTGCCTCATGGAAGGTTTTCTTCTTGGAAAATCAGTGTGAAATAAAAGAATGTGATTGTTTCAGGAAGGGAAGCCAGACAGCAGGAGAGCAATAAACAAGTGAAATTTGTATCTTGCCCGAGTGATTTGCACTTCAGTAGTTGTGAAAGAAAATTTCCAGGACTCCAGTGCTTTTGTGTTCGATTTCCAGCCCCTTTCGTACCTCCTTTCTATGAGCAAGTGTGGGACTGTACATAGGGTGTTTACAGGATGCTCCGTTTGGGTTGTTATTTTTCTTGTGGGTTTTTTTTGCTCTAGCTTGAACTCTGTATGGTCCATTTGTTAAATAGCCGTGAACAGTTGATGTACAGTACTTACTAAACAAGCAGCAGCACAAAACTTATTTTATTAAGAAAATATGGCTTATATTTTAAAGGTTGAATATCAATTTTTTTTTTTTGTATGTGTGGAATTAAGACTGGTGAAGAGTAACAAAGTCCTTGGATTAGGCCAAAAAAATACTGTAAGATCCTAACCACCTCTTTATTAAAGAAAGCAGTATGATTAAAGAGCTCCAGAACATTGTATTTATATTGGATTTGATTTAATTGCATTTGTGGATTTTTTTTTTGTCTTGGTCCTGATTTTTGCTTGCAACTTCAACTTTGCAGTCCCAAGTGTCTGTTACCCTGTAACTGTTGGCAGAAGACCTAAATAAAAGCAATGTGAATATGTTTTTATTGACATAAAAATACTCCTGAGTCACATCGCGTGGGGAAGGGACACGTGCATCCCAGCCATTCCCTCAGGAAAGGCTGGGGGACAAACAGGGAAACACTGACTGGAGCCGAATTGCATCAGACACTGCAGAGGATCCAACACCTCTCACTGTCCAATGAGAGGAAACACTTAAGCAAACAAATACATGCTTAAAACTTCTGGGAATATAGTACAATTCCACTTTATTAAAGCATCACCTGAGAACTGACTGATTTTGGGCTCCTGGGTTATTAGATGATAGAAATGTATATCAAAATCTGCTGTTCCTCCAGCCTCTCTGAGTGCTTCAGGGGCTCTTGGCTCTGAGGTGCTTTAAGGACAGATTTCAGACTCCTTTTTGGGTTGAGGTTAAACTTGATCCTCTGGGTTTCTGCAGTGCCTCATGTTTTACATTTCACATCATGTTTTATATTTCCCAGCTTTGCAATTCTTGCAAACATCCTAGCCTTCTCCAATGCCAGCAGCTTATGGTTGAATTTTACAGTCCAGAATTGGAGGTTGTTTGCCATCCTCTGAGTTCTTTGTTGGAGGAGTTCTTTGTTTTACTTTACAAAGGTGCAGGGGCAGACCTTAAGCCAATGAATGATTTAGCAATTGAGCTGTAACTGGGTTTTTGAATAATGCCAAGGAATTTTAAGGAAGTCCTTGCTAATGGCATGCAGACACTCATCAGTTAATTTACCTAACTGCAGCACAAGAAAGTTCTGTCCGGAGCTGGGCACCTGTACAGGTCCTGCACACACCTGGCTGTTTTGTGGGTTGTATCACCTATTTTAAATGATTCCTACTACATAACAGAATCTTTAGCAGTTTTAAAGGCGCTTTTTCTGCGTGAGGTACAACAGCAAATTGTGCCTTGTATAGCTGGGTCTGGAGTCCTTGGAAAACAGGTCAGAAAACTGGTTTCAGGTGTTAGATTGGCATTTGAGCCCCAGCCCTGGTGCTGATTACAGTGCCCGAGCTGTGGGACCGGATGTGCTGCCCCTGAAGGATGTGTGTTTGTAGAGATGCCTCTCTCTCACATATCTGCTTCATCCTGGAGATCACATTTCCCACTCCCAATTTCAGTTAAGGAAATATTCTAGTAGGTTACCTTTAATTTGCATGGGTTTAAAATCCTGTGTCACTTACCTGAAAACTAAATTTATGCTTTTAAAGACTAGTTCAGCTGGGAATCTCTGGGATGCCAATTCTTAATAATGACCCTGAGATTTGGATTATGGGTCTTTAACTTCTGGCCCAAAATTCGAGTTCTTCAGTACCTGCTCAGTTGTTTCCCAGGGGAAGGGCCCCTCTCACTACCAGAAAAAGTCATGTTCTTTCTTCACAATGAGTAGCAGGTTCAAACCCATTTGAACAAGTCTCAGAATACTGTTCTTACTAAAAAATGATCTTTTGAGGGCAGAGGAAATAGAGGTAAAGGTGTCAGTGTCTGAGCCAGCACTGAGCCTGTTGCGTCTCTCACTTTCAAATGTCTTCCCGGCATGCCATTTGCCTCTTTCACCCCTCTGCTTGTTTGGTGCCAGTTTGTGTAACAAATCCGTAACGGAGCGGTACTGAACATCGCTAAAAAGTCTCAAAAAATGAGAACAGGGCAAGCATAAACTCTGAATTTATGTTGATACAATGAATAATCGAATTATGAATCATGGAATATCCTTAAATTGGAAGGGATCCACAAGGATCATCCAGTCCAATGCCTGGCCCTGCACAGACACCCCAACAATCCCACCCTCCGCTGAGAGCGTTGTCCAAACACTCCCCGAGTTCTGGCAGGGTCGGGGCCGAGCCCATTCCCTGGGGAGCCCGTCCAGGGCCCGACCCCGCTCTGGCTCCCGCAGCGCTGTCGCAGCCGGACTCGTTCCGCGTGTTCCCGGACCGGGGCAGCTCACGGGCCGTGCCGGCGGCTTCGGCGCTCCTAGCGTGTCCATGTCCCGCGCATGACAACACTTAGGTGCCACCGGGGCCAGAGCGCGGGGGTTCTTCTGGCTAGGTTAGCGAGGATTAAGAAGGCATCAGCTGAGCTCACTGGGGACCGGGCTGGAAGCCCTCGAAGCCGCCGCACATGGCAGCTGCTGCTGCAGGTAGAAAACGCCGCAGACATAATGCGTTGTACTGAAATACCACAGCACTGCGGGGTCGGGAATAGCCCCCCGGTGCTTCCGTTCTGACTCCCGATGGGGTCACGTTGTGCTTTCCCGGCGCGGGCCGTGCCGGTGTCCCAACGCCGTCCATCCCGCTCCGGGGCGGCCGCCGGTGCCTGCGGGGCTCGCCCCACGCTCCCCCGGCCTTGACGGCCCCGCCGGCTCCCGCCGCCGTTCCCGCCTCCCCCTCGCTGTTGTCGTGGCAACCGCGCTGGCTCGCGCCCCGCCCGCTTCCGGCGCCTCTTCCCCTTCCCCCGGAAAGGACGGGGGCAGGGGAAGCGTGGGCGGGATTTCCGGCGGGCGGGGCGCGCGCGCGGCGGGGCGGGAGCGGGCGCGCGAGCCTGGGCTGCGGGGCGGCCACGCCACTTCCGCCTCCGCCGCCGCGTGAGGGGCCGGGACCGCCGGGAGCGGCACCGGGAGCGCCGGGAATTCCGGGAGCAGCGCCGGGAGCGGCCCAGCCGGGAGCGCGGCGGAGGAACCGCCGCCCAGCGCAGCCCCGCGCCGGCCGCCGCAGCCCCGAGCGGCTGCGCCCCAGCTCCATGAATGGAAATCGGCAGCGCAGGTGAGGGCGGGCCCGGCGGGCTCTGGCGGGGTTGGGGAACGGCCCCCCCGCGCCATCCCCCCAACTCCCGGTGCTCGCCCCGGTGCCGCGAGGCAGCGGCCGGGCCGAGCCCATCCCGTGGGGGATCGGGCGGGAGGAGCTGAGCCCCGCGGGCAGGGCCCCGGTACCGGGCAGAGCCGGGGCCGAGCCTCTCCGGGCCCTGATTCCCGTGCCGGAGGTGGAGGAGGAATTGTCGGTATTTCATAACCGGTGTGTCCGGCTTGCGTAACCCGCGCCGTGCCGGTGCCCGAGGGACGGACCCGCAGAGCCCGGCGGGACCGGGCAGCGCTCCCTCGAGCAGCCCCTGCCGGGCACACACCGGGTGTTTGGCCCCTGTGTGTCAGCGCGCTGACTTTTAGGGCTCATTCCTGTGCCTTTGGGTGTGCTGCTTCACAATAATCATTCCGAGGTGGCTATTGCCTAGAGAAGTAGTGGCTGCCCCATCCCTGGGTAGTGTCCAAGGCCAGGTTGGACGGAGCTTGGACCAACCTGGGCTAGTGGAAGGTGTCCCTGCCCATGGCAGGGGGTGGAATGGATGGGCTGTAAGTTATTTTCCAACCCAAAGCGTTCTGTGATTCTATGAAAATCTTCATATTTTGGCCGTTTGATCCTTTTGCTGAGAAGCACGTGCTCAGTATTTATCAACTTTGTTGTTTAAATGGATTTTGAGGGTTGGAGAAGAAAGTTCTAATTCAGTTTTTCAAGGTAATTTATTCCAAGTCTGGCAGAACAGCAGAGGAGGATGCAGGGTTGGGCAGTGTTTAATCAGCAGTTCCCTGGCTGTACGTTGATGGCAAAGGGAATGTCCAAAGCCACCTGGAGTTCCATGTCTGTCACTTGAATAGGTACCACAGGTGGTGAAAATACAAGACTGAGACTGAAGGTGTTAACACAAGACGTGCCTTCCCATCTCCATATGGAGAGCCTTTTCTAACATAGAGACTTAAGGACAATGATGGATTTGGCTGGAAAAACTCCCTACCTCAGCTGTTGCCTGGTTTGAGGCTGTGATGGGTTGAGAATATTTTAAGATGCAGGATTTTAACAATCTGGTGGAATTCATATGATGCTCTCTTTCACGGTATTAAATAAACTCTGATTAAAACCTGGTGCAATTGTAGTTGTTTCCTGATAAACAGATTTGCAAGTAAATGGTTTAGTTTTCCTTTGGAGTGGATTTACCTGTTGTTAGGCTGCAATATGTTGGATTTTATCAAAGCTGCTGCAGAGTGTTCCTTTTGGGCTCTGGCAGTGTCCAGCATGCTGGATGGTTCTTCCTATGCTGTGTGATGAGTGAAGTGTTAAGTGCAGTGTTCACATTCCAAATGTTGGGGTGTTGGAACAGGAGGACACAAACCATCCTTGGTAGAACAAATGAGGATTAAAGCTCTGTCATGAAAGAGAGAAAGACACTTGAGATGTGCTTTGTTTTCTGTGCATGAAGAGAAAACATGGGATAAAATAAGCAGAGAGGGGAACAAAGATTGGTGTCTCAGTGTCCCTGGAGTAAAGTCTGGAAGCGTGTGCCAGGACATCTTGGGTAAAGCAGTGCTGTAGGTGATTTCCTGTTTGTGTGAGAGGCTTAGCTTAAGGAATCTGGGGAGTATTATGGCTATCCTGGTCTGTGGAATTTTCACATCACTAAAAATAGGGGCAAGATGTGAAGGTGGCTACTTGGGACGTAGGTTGTGGTGAAACCAAACTGAGGAACAGCAATAAAGTGTTTGGTGGGGAAAGTGAAGGAGAAGCTGCTCTCTGCACAGGTCAGGCATTTGTACTTCCACCAGGAGAATGCCAAAAGGCAGGGAGGTTCAACCAACAGGGGATGTTCCATGGTGTAACCAAGTTGTATCAATGCTGTCTTCATTTCCCTGTCCTACCTTGTTCTTTCAAAGCTCACAGCTTTCTGTGTTAAAAGTGTTAAATTGTGTTTTTTTAATTTCAGTTTTTAATGAAGCAATGCAGGCATCCTTAATGTTCACAAGTATCATACAAACTTTGGGCAGAGAAAATCCCGAGAAGTGGTTTTTCTCTCTGATTGAGAGTAGTGATTTGGGAGACCCATTAAAAGTCCCCTTTTTGTGGGTGTGGTAGAGCAGGGAAGGGGCTGATTCATAGTTGCCTTCAAAAGTTATTCTACTGTGAGATACAGTGGCAGATTTCCTTTGGAGTTGCTGTGGAAGTTGTTCGACTTGCAGTATGAACTTCACAAATTGTTTCATCCCCGGAGCTTTACTTTCTCAGGGGTGAAGATGTCAAAGACTATTTCTTGAGCTAATTTTTACCTTCCTGATTTTAGTCTGTGGAAATACCTTCCAGGAAAAACCCTTGCAGGGTTTGTGTGGGCTGGCACATTCTCTTCTCCCGGAGCAATTGGGTATTAACTTCATTCACTGTGTGCATATAAGCTGCTTTTTTGGGCTTAAAGCTTTTTGTATTTAGATTTTTTTTAATGGTTCAGAAGCATTGATTGTCTTTTAAATTCTCCCAATACACTTCAGTGTGTTTTCTGTAAATCCATTAGGCCAGAATGAGTTACCACACCAGTATTTGCTTGTGAAGTTGGCAGTCACAAACCACGGCATCAAATGTTGGCTTTTGATGAGTTTGAACATGACTTAGTATTTGAAACCTTGAAAAAAACCAAACCCTAGATTGCGAGAAGGAATGTTTAGAAAACATGGATTGCATTAATCATAAATAATGTAATGCCACCCAGCAAGGCCAAGTGATAGAAATGAGGCAATTCATGATTTCTGGCAGACGGAGCTGGATCATTGAAACCGACGTTTGAGTCAAACCTTCTCTATGTATTTTTTTAATCCAGAACTAGGTTATTTTTTGCTAGTGATAAGATTTTCTTAGGACTCTACAGGCTCTGAGTAGGGGCCAGGGCCCCTGTAAAAGGGAATCTTTTATTTTTCCCCCTCCATGGAGAGCTCTAGCTCTCCCCGGTGCAGCTCCAGCCCAGCCTGTGATTGGTTCCACAAATCTGCCTCGTGTTCCTGAGCCAGAGTAAGTTGTATTTACCTGCTCAGGTCTTGATGATGTGTTTTGGGCTGTTCCAGCATCCATCCAGCTTTAATCCAGGATTTAGAACTGTTGTATAAACAAAAATAAAACCACTAAGTTATTTCTGTTAATACAATTTGGCTTTATAATGATGAAGACACAGTGGGAAAGAGGATAATTTTTTTCTGGAAGCTCGGTGGGGATGGCCCTTTCTGTAAGGAAATCTGCATTTCCTATTAGTATCCTGCTGGAGATCAGGGATTTTCTTCGTTCTGTAAAAATGTTGTGCGTGCCAGAAGCTGCAGTTTTTCGTACAATGGTGTGTTGGATGCATTTGCAGGTTTCTGAGCTCCTGCTCGTTGTGTTCAGGCTTTATTCTGACAGGGCTTCTCTGGTTGCTAGGTAGGTGCAGCCAGTGTTTGGATGCAGGCCAGACATGTCCATGTGCTGGCTGGGCTGCCGAGGAATCACCGTCCCTTTCGGCTGTGTTTAAGCTTGATTGGAACATTGACACTTGCGTGGAAGAAAAGATTCTCACTCAGAGCTCATTGGAACCATTAGAGGGACTTCCACAGTGGAACTGGGGGAGCTTTAAGGTCCCTTCCAAGTCAATCCATTCCATAATCTTGAGATGTGCTCCCTTGCTGCACAAAAGCCTTCCAAAAATCTGTCTGAGACACCAGTTTTAGTTGCTGTTTGTGCCTTCATTGCTTTCTGTTATAAGTCAGTTGAGTTTTAGTGCTGAGGACTTTACTGAGCTGGTTTTATGAATTGAGCTCTACTCCAGCACACTGAACAGACTTGATTGGGAGTTTTCTTTGGACTTTTAAGAACGTCTTAGGAATGTATCTGAAGGGAGCCTACAAGAAAGATGGAGAGGGCTATTTACGAGGCCTGGAGTGACAGGGGAATGGCTTCCCACGGCCAGAGGGCTGGCTTAGTGGGATATTCGGAAAGAATTCTTCCCTGTGAGGGTGGAGAGGCCCTGGCACAGGTTACCCAGAGAAGCTGCCCCATCCCTGGAAATGTCCAAGGCCAGGCCTGGATGGGGCTTGGAGCAGCCTGGGATAGTGGAAGGTGTCCCTGCCCATGGCAGGGTGTAGGAATAAGGTGATCTTTAAGGTGCCTTCCAACCCAAACCATTCCATGATTCTATGGTACTTACCTGGTGCTGTAATGGCAGTTTCCTCAATTTCATTTTTATATTGGTTTCTTTAGCACAAAGAAGTTTCTCCTCTCAAGTCTCTGGGCAGCTGAGCAGTGCAGAAGTCTCTGGAAGCACTGAGGAGCTGTTCCCTGTGGAGGAGGCCTCACTGTCCTGCTGGTTTGAGAAAGGTTTTTGAGCCTTGACCCACTTTATTTTTGCAATTGTTAAAGGACCTGAAGGAAAGGATCTGCCACTCAGGCATCCTGTACTCTGCAGAATAATAGTACTTGGAATATTTTTGATTTGTATGTTTATTTCCATGGGCTTGACACAGGACTTAGGCATGAGGTTGGGTGAGTCACCGATAGATCGGCGGCGGAACCATTCCCAGAGCATCGCTGGTTATTTGGGTTTGAGTCACAGCTTTGAAGCCGCTAACACAAGACCTTCACAATAGAATCTGGCAAATCAGTGTCTCTTGAAAGCAAGGTTTTCTAAGTGGGTGCTCCTGTATCTGGGCAGTACTGGCATACTCATGTTTTTAAGTTCATTTGTCCAAGGGAGCTTATGATTCACACAATAATAGCAAAATAGCTGAATGTTTCAAAATTATACCTGAACAGTATGTAGACCTGCACTTCTGATTCATTTATTGGTCATTTAATTCCTGTTTGCCAAAATCTGGGTTCTAACTTCTTCCAGGGTGGGCTGGGTGAGTGGGACACACTGACCAGACTAAAAGAATCTTTTTAATGTTATCTTCATTTTAGCAGTTTTGTTAGTCTTTCCTTCATATAGGAACTAAATATAAACTATGGTGTGTATGTCTTCAGAATATTAAAATAAACTAGTAACTTGTTTATGCCACTTAAATGTTTTGTAGTAACTTCTTTTTGCTTATGCTTATATTCTGCAAATATAGCTGGAGTAAATTCTAGGGCTGCTTTTACTCATGTGAGAGTATTAAAATGAAGGAAAAGTTGAAGAGAGCAGATGCTTGGAACAAGTTTTGCATAAGCAGAGTCTGTGAGCGGGTTTTAAATGATGCTTCTTGGTTTCTGTTTTGTTTTATCTTATGGCTCCAAGCCAGCCCCACTCAGAATTTTTCAGTAGTTTTCTGGTTAGAGCCAGACAAATGTTACAGAGGAACTTGGCCTTGATGTTCACCTGTTCTCAGGACATGATTTCCTTCAAGATAATACAGTTTTTTTTGCAGAAATTATGGAGATTAATCAAAAGGCAAATAAAAAATATTTTTTCCCAGCACTTGACATTTTAACTCTGCTATGAAAACGAGTGGGCTGGAATTGCTGCCTGCGTCACCGAGTAGGAGGAGAGGGGAGAACTTTGCACTACCTTGCTTGAATGCTCTGTTAATCAGGACATTTGTGCCACGAGTAACTTCTCAAAACTCAGGCTACCAAGCATTTTGGGGTTATTGTTGTTTCTTAACTGGAAAGAGGTATTTTTAAGTGGAAGTACTAGTAGAAGTTCTGGGAAATAGGCTATGTTTACTACTGTGTTTGATTTGTAGGGCATGAGTAATGCAAATCTTGAGTGGAGGGTTCTCATGTAAATGATGCAAAACAAATTAAATAGATGAGAATGGAACAAATCTGGGCAGGTATTTTAGCTACTTTTCAAAATACCTATCTCAGTGCAGATTTGGATGTTTCTCTTAGCAGTCCTGGCTATTCTTCTCTACTGTACAAGTAATCAAGAGTTTTACAATCCTGTCTTAATCTGATTCTTTACTCTTCTGGCAAATTGGCTTTATGGGGGCAGTTAGATGGGAGGTAATGGTCTTACTCTTCATCCATTTTCAGCCAGCAAAGTTCAAGAATAATCTGTCTTCCAAGACTAAGCTGATATTGACGCTGAAATGAAGAGTTTATCTCAAATCCTGTGCATCAGTCCAGAGCTACTTCTGTATTTTTGTACTCTGCAGCCACTTGGTTATTACCAGGGTATTCAGAAAAGACTTGTAAAACTTTCTGTGTGATTTTTGGGGTGGTTTTTGTTTAAGGATTTTTTTTTTGTTGGGTTTTTTGTTGTTGTTGTTGGTTTGTGGGGGTTTTTTTCTTTTTTTTTCTTTTCTTTTCTTTTTTTTTTTTTTTTCTGTTTTGTTTTGTTTTGGATTTTTAGTTGGGTTGTTTTAGGAAATCTCCTAAACAAAACCTCCTGATTTTATTCATGCTGATCGCTGAAGCTCATGAGTAAGAGAACCGTCTAGATGTAGGTGGAGGCTTAGGGATTAATAATGGGCAAGCATTTGTTTGGAATTTCATGGGCAGCATGCTGTTGGAGACAGCTGATTTCCTTTCCTCAAGTGTGCTGGCTCTGGTGCCCACCTGGTTGTCCCGGGAGTTGGTTCAGGGGCTTGTCTGTTGTGCTTTTCTCCTAATCTGTGGGATTTTTCCTTTGCAGGACCCGTGGGGGCACAGCCCCTGCTTATGGTGCCCAGACGTCCCGGATATGGCACCATGGGCAAACCCATTAAACTGCTGGCCAACTGCTTCCAAGTTGAAATCCCAAAGATTGATGTCTACCTCTATGAGGTGGATATCAAACCAGATAAGTGTCCTCGGCGGGTGAACAGGTGAGAAGACACATTTGTCTTGTAGATTATACCAATGTGAATATTGATTAACATCAAGAGCTGTGAAAGGGAGAATTTCTTTCCTTTTCCCCACCTCCGAGCTGGGAGGTAAAAGTGCTGCTGCTCATTCAGCTTGAAGAGGAAGTCAGTATCATCTTCCTGAAGTACTTTGGGTTAATATTGCCTGACCAGGACATGGTGCCTGAGAGCTGCTGCTGTTTGCATGTGCTGAAGGAAAGTGTTTCCATTTTGTGCGACTGAAACACCAAGATTTCCCAAAGAATTCAGATTCCAAAGGCCTGTTACAGTTGGAGGTGTTCCAAAAGTCTCTTTTTATCTACTACTCTCATCAAGAAGCATCTTTGTATAAGCTGAAAATTTCATGATGGTTTTTCAAGTGTAATTTCAGTGCTTGTGTCAGGTTAATTTTTATTGCCATCAATTTATAATAAAGCAAGGGAGGCAAAACTATAATTGTGTGCAAATTGGATTAGGCTTTTACATGATTTTGTAAAAACTCAGGTTGTTAAGGACTTAAAGCCAAACCTTTTTTGTTAGGGCATCTCATGTTTATAACCGGTGTAGGCAGAATTCAAAACTCTTATCAGTTGAGGAACAGATAAACATTGCTGCAGACAGTACAATGAACTGGCAGAGCTTCCAGTTGGGGGTTTGTACTGTTTTTTCACACTACCACTTTGTGGGTTTTTCCCAAGGTAACAGTGTCCTTGTATTCCATAATAAAGATGATGCAAAGGCCTTGGTCATTTCTAGGAGTTTCTGAAATCATTTCAGTACCAGTATTTCCCAGTACTTAAACATTTGCATTGATTCTTATTTTATTCTGTAGTGTTTATTTATTTAGTTCAAGTATGTGAAGCACCTTTTGGAATAGCAGTGGGTGTTTATAATTCACTCAAGTATTGTTTATTGCAACTACTTCAGCAAAACACTAGGGAGTGAGAGCCAGCTTGGGTCTGATCCTTCCTCAGAAACATCTTCAATGTAAATATCCCTTTTCCAGGGACGTGGTGGACTCTATGGTGCAGCATTTTAAAGTGACAATATTTGGGGACCGTAGACCAGTTTATGATGGGAAAAGAAGCCTCTATACAGCCAATCCACTTCCTGTGGCCACTACTGGGGTAAGATAACTGGGATGATGCTGTATTGGTAGCAGCTTCATAGGAAAGGAAAAAAGCCAACTTTAAATATTGCTTATGTCAGAAAAGCTGGAACTATCTTACAGTATCTGTATTGAAACTGAGTCCTTCTGATACATTTCCTGCAAATTCCAGTGTGTGTAAATGTTCATGGAACAGTTGCATTCAGAACTTCCTGTAGAATTTCGTAGCTGCCTTCTAAAGCAAAATCGATTAAAACATTTCATTTTACAGACTGCAACATATGATCTTGTGAATGAATTGAAAAACCAAGCCAGAGTTTTTCTAGAATGTATCACTTAATGATTAGAGCTGACAAAAAGTTATCTTCTTTTGCTTGGTCAGGGCCCAGTTCTCATCACTTTGTGCATTTGATAATGTACTTTCATCAAATGTGCTGTCTTTTCAATATCTGAGTTTTTGAGTCTCTGGCCCAGTTACGGACAGGGGTAGTCGCAAGGCTACCAGACTCCAGATTAAAAAGCTTTTTATTTCTTTCTTTTCTCCTCTGCCCAGGTGGATTTGGATGTGACACTACCCGGAGAAGGTGGAAAAGATCGTCCCTTCAAAGTGTCAATAAAGTTTGTTTCTCGGGTGAGCTGGCACTTGCTGCATGAAGTTTTGACAGGAAGAACCTTGCCTGAGCCTCTGGAACTAGACAAACCTATCAGCACTAACCCTGTTCATGCTGTCGATGTGGTGCTACGACACCTCCCCTCCATGAAGTAGGTTCACTGTCTTCCTGCGGTCTGTCTTTACCTGAAGTATCCCCACTGGGAGACCTTCATCCCCATTTCTTCACAGGTGGAAAGAGAAACTGCTCATTCCCCTTTGCAGCACAGCTGGTGAGCTGAAAGGGGAGCTTGTAGCCAGTCCTGTACAAGTATTTCTGTAGGCAGAGCAGGTGATATGTGTGTTGGAAAAGATCAAGAAACAGCAGGCATTTATAATAGGTCTTCACTGAAATGTTGAGAGGTTCCAGTGAGCTGTAGTGCTGCTGTCCTGGTTCTGCTCAACCTGAGCCAAGTCATGGCAGTGCCTGTGAAAAAGCACAGGTCTCTCTAATCCATTGATATACTGTGACCGGTGCACGCTTCTCACATCTGAAATACATGGCTGGGACCAGGTACCTGGCTGAACAAAGTCTCATATTTGTTATTTTATCTCAGAACCCTGAAATTTAGAGAAGGCTAATTTCACCTGATTTGGTCAATGAAAGTTGCTTTTGAAGTTTGTTGGCTTTAGGCAGCACAATGGCTTTGCTCTGATAGGTGTCACTGCGTGTAGCTGACTCCTAAAAAAAGTGCCCTGTGGTTTTGTTTGGAATCCAGTGTTCCTCAGCTTCCCCAGATCTGAAGATGTTAACCTCTATACTAATGCCTGTGCATTACAAAACAGGAGGTGTGGAGGCTCAGGAGCAGCTGTTTTCTACTTGTGAGAGAAACATCATTTCCTCTAGTTCTTTGTTTCCCCCATAGTTTTTGCTTCTCTCAATGTATCTTGTATTCAAAAGGTCCCTATGAAATAGGAAAAGTGGTATTTAAGGGTCAGGTCAGTGTAGACAAGGCTGTTGTGCAAACTCTGCTGTGGTGGAGATTCCACTTTCTTGAAGCAGAAGATCAGGAAGGGTACGTTAACTTAGTTCTTGATTTGTTGTAAAAACTGAAAGTGGTTTGTGCATTGCTAAAAATAGTGAATGTTTTTGTCTAAATTTAAAAGCACTGCAATAGGAACAGAAGCATTCAGGATATTTTGTTTATAGTTGCTTCTTGGCACAGATTGCTGGTGCACAAAATGCCAAAAAAATAATAATGCTGTGTGTTATAGTCTTTGTTACATGAATTTTATGTTTGGAAAGCAAGAATATAAATGTGTGGCCACCTGTTTCACTAGGTACACCCCTGTGGGCCGCTCCTTCTTCTCAGCTCCAGAAGGCTATGACCACCCCCTGGGAGGGGGCAGGGAGGTCTGGTTTGGGTTCCATCAGTCAGTCCGGCCTGCCATGTGGAAAATGATGCTCAACATCGATGGTAAGTGGAGATTCAGGGCTGAGATTCAGACCAGACATGTATGGCAAAGGCTACCCAGAAATTCTAGTCTTTTTTCTTATATTTGTCATCATGTCAATGTTTGAGCAGAAATTTAGCTGCCATATAAAGACCAATATCCCTGTGTAAAAAGGAATTGCACAGGGCTTGTTTTCCTACTTAATTTCAGTCCTGGTGCATCCCCAGTGACAGAGGCAGGTTGCCTGCGCTGTGTCTCGGTGCAGCTGTACACAGTGAGTGGTGCTCAGTACTTCCAAGAAAACTCTGTAAAACATACCCCAAACACTTCTCTGAATAAGGCTGATTGGGATAGACTTTCTTATGCAAAAGCATGAGCTCTGCAGCACTTTATTGAGTCCCAGATGAATGGATCTGAGATTGGCTGGTGCCTTTGTCAGACTCCTCATCCTGTGAGCACTCGACTCTATTTAGTTGTTAAAACCCTTATGGAAAAGTGTCAGTGGTGGAGGTGCAGGTGCTGCCTGAGGTTTTCTCTGATGTGCATTCAGTTCCCACTGTCTTTGAAAGGCTTTATAAACCCAAGGTAAACTGTCTTGCTCTACATTGAGCACTCCAAGTCAGGTTGTGCTTAGCATCTGTCTTGGAGCATAATAAAATATTGCAGATGTTGAACTGTCTTGCTGGAAATTTGTAAGTCCACGTGTTCTGCTTTACGTAAATTGTGGTGATTCTTGTGTGACTGAAGTCACACGGTTTATTCTTGTAAAATTGCCTTTCTAACAGCAGCTGTGGTTTAAAAAATGAATGTAAAAATCCTAACCTGTCCCAGAAAGAACCAGTGCTGGTATCTATGTGCAAGGTACTGAGAGAACTGCAGTTCAGGCAGGAGAAGAGGATGAATTTACACCAGTTGATGATGTACTGTGCTGTTACTTTGTGAGGCAAGTTTTTCTTACCAGCATTAGCAAGTGTAGTATTAATTCTTGGAGTAGAAGTTTTTCAGTCCTTCCTTGTGAATGAGAAATTTTAAGTCCGTTGTAAGTGGTGATTCACAGAGCTGTTCTGTTTCCTGATTTGAGGCTGTGAAATTGCCTTCAAATCCCATCACTGGAGGTTTTTCAGTTGTTTAGTTGTATGAGGTTCTCCATGAAAATGTTGCTGTGGGAGACAACCCACATGTTGCCAGGGTGGGGAGAGTGAGGATTTGGGGTCACTCAGAAATCTGGAGCAGTCTTAGGCATCTGGAGGTGTTGGCTGATGTGTCATGTGAGGTTGGTAGGCTGCTCAAGTGACATAAGTCTGAAGAATGTTGGGTTGTATCAGCACAGATATGTGGCGGGTTCGGTACATGAGATCTGGAAAACTGATAAATGCTTGTTGAGTATTTCTTTACTGTTGTTACCATTTAAAGTTTTAAATGTGTGGAAGAGTTTGTGTCTGAACTCTGTCTAGTCCCACCTCACCCTTCCTGCCAAAGGTGTTGTTTCAGCTGCTTATAACTTAGTCCATAAGGTAATTTATGATCTTCCTTGCATGGAATAAATCAGCTGTCATGCTTAAAAACAGTATATTATCCCTTAAAGTGATAGTGTCATTAGCTTGTGGGGAGGGTGAGAGATTTGAATAGATCAAGGGTTCTGCTCCCCACTACATGAACACAATTTGTGCAGAGTCAAAATAGTGCTCATGTCTACACCAGATACTGTTTCAGTAATTGAGCAGATTGTGTAATTGACAAAATTATATTGTATGTTGAATTATGTTAGCTTTTAATATTCAAAAGTCTGAGGTAGAGAGGTATTAGTCCTATCTCTGCAGCTTCATTCAGAGGTGAATGAGAATGTCTCTCTGGGGTGCTGCAGCTCTCTAGAAATAAATGTTCTCTGGGGAAAAACCCTTCCAAACCTCTGAAATTCCAGGTAGTAGCAGAATGACTGTACCAGGAACAGATGTGTCACTGTGGACCTTTTCCTGGCTTTTTGATATTTTACTCTTGCAGAACTTGCTGTTCTGTTTCTAAATGTGCCTGAGGTTTACGTGGAATTCTAAGAAATATTGATGTATGAAATGCTTCACAATACCTTGACTGGGGTTTTTTACACTTAATGTTTTGCTCTGTGTAGTTTCTGCCACTGCCTTCTACAAAGCACAACCCGTAATTCAGTTCATGTGTGAAGTCCTTGACATTCATAATATTGATGAACAACCAAGACCTCTGACTGATTCTCATCGGGTAAAATTCACCAAAGAGATAAAGGGTGAGTAGAAATGGGTCTGTTTTGTCCCAGGTGACACAATAAAGGTAATTCTGATGGAATTGTTTTGATTGGAAACCTGGTTAACATGCATCAGAAGGGCATGGAACTGCCAAGAGAATTGTAGTGTCCATGTATGTAGCTCTAATACTGAGAGAAACAGTGCTGCTCTGCAGAGCTGAAGAACATTCCTAGTGCCTTAAAGGCCAAGAGGGAGCATGTTGTTCATTGCCTGGGCAGAGGTAAGTGGCTGGTGCTAGCCTCTCCTAACCCAGGGTCCCTGAGGCTACCTGGCATTGTGTGTGGGCTCCTGCTGTTTCATTGCTGTGGCAAAGTGAACATTGATTTCAAGGCTAACATTGAATCTTTGAAAGAGTGTTCTTACAGTGAATTCTAATAACTGATTGTCTTGTGGAAAAACAAGTACCACTTGCAGCTGAAGGCCAAATTCCATTCCAAAGGAATTGCATAAGCTGCTGGTTTGAGTGGTTTCACTCCATATATGCTACTCAGGTTTGTATTTTCCCATATCCTTCATTGCAGTGTAATTTGCAGAGGGAAAAGATGTGAAGGAGCTCAGTTCTTAAACACCTGATGCAACGTTAGACTCTACTGAAATCCTGGGCAACTAAAAAGTAAATTTGAACTCTAGTCATAAAGGGATGTGCTCACAGAATAGTCATGACTGAAAAAAGACTTACAGGAATTATTTTGTATTAGTCCTAGCATGCCCCCTTTTGCATCTACCTGTCTTCATTCTGTAGGGCAGGTAACTGGAGATTGAGAAACTGCCTCTTCTTAATCTCAGATGCCTCAGAGGCTCTGTTACCATAGTCAGAAAATGTTGAAAGTTATCCTTTTGCTCTCAGACTTGTCTTTGCTGCTTTAGGGTCTGAGAGCTCCAGCCAGGACGTGACCACATACAGCAAAACAAGCCCTGCATTAGAGCTGGCTGTGTATGAGCAGCACTGGGGGAGGGCACTGCCTTGGTAGTGTCACAGCAGAGTAATGACAGAGCAGGGAATGGATTCCAGATATCTCTGTGTTCATCAGCCCTTGTCTGTGGTCACAGTGCCCCATGGTTTCTCTATTTTCTCTTAATGCCGTGTCAGGGCAGTGGTGGTTTATTTTTGACTGTGAGTAATGCTGACGTTCTTGATGCAGTTAGTGTTGTCAGGGAGCAAGGAGGTACAGCCAGTGCTTCTTTGTGATGTCTGTGTCCCCAGTAAACTAAATACAGTCTGGTGTCTGGTACCTGGGGACCTGATTTTGAGTGGGTGTTCAGTCAGTGGTCCACATACCTCAACAGGATGAGCCATCCAATTGCTCTCCCAAAGGCCTTTACTACTAGACTTCACCAGTATTAGACTTTACTACTGGAGGTGAATCCTTTGAATACCCAGGCTCAGTTTTTAGCTGCTTTCTGTCCCCTGGGGCTGGAGAAAGACAGCAGCGTGTGGATGCTGTGCAGCCCTTGTGTGATAAGCTCAGTGCTCCCAGCAGATGTTGAGGCTGCCCTGTGTGAGCAGCACAGTGTGTCCACAGTCACAGCAACAGCCCCCAGAGCCTCTTGGAGCTGCCACTGTCATGATTATTGTGGGCAGAGGTAAGTCTGGAGAGGCTCTGGTATGTAGGCTGGATGCTTTGAGGCGAGATGCTCAAAATTCAAAGTTCAACTTGGTCACTGAAATGAAAGAAAATTACGGGCTGAATGTAAAAACAAACAAATAAAAAGCTGTGGGGAAAGATGATAAAGTAGAAACCTGGTCTTGCCCTTTTAATTTCAAATACATTGGAACTGATAGTTTGGAGAGATGTTCAAGACTGAGAATGAGAACAAGAGGATATGGTGAAAAACTTCTCTCTGAGTTCAGTCAGTGCTTTTTAAATGAAACTACTAAATGAAATTCAGAAGACACTGAACATTAAATATTCTACATCATGCTTTCTTTCTGAAGATAGTAATGAGGATTAGTCAGAACTCAAATTATAATGAAAGTAAAAATGTTTAGAGAATAATAGTTTCTTACATTTGTGCTATTTGGTGCTGGTTTAGGGCAAATTTTTTGTCCTGGTTTAGGGCAGATTTGGGAGAAAACCTCCAATGAGGCTCCCCTGGGAAGCAAACCCACATGGCCCTTTTCTCCTACCCCGCCAACCGGTTTGGGAAGAGATTTCTCTGAGAGAAGTGGAAAAAACCTGTTTATTTCACAGGCACAGCCCTACCCAGCACAAAAATGAACGATACCAAATTACAAAACCTCTCGCCGTTCAGAAAAGATGACAAATTTCAGAGGGTCTCTTTCCTGTGGGTGTTTGCTCTGTTATCAGTCCCTCTGGTGCTGGAAAATGCCGCTGCCCAGGCTGGGCTCCCGGTAGTCCACGGGTGCAAGCTCCCGGTGCTCCCCCGAGTCCCCAGTTCAGAGCAGCTTCGATTCGTTTCAGAAAAAGGGAAAGAAAACAGTCCAGGAAGACCTCTCTGCTCCGGCTAGTTGGAAAGCCAAGGCGATCTGTCTCTTGTTGTCTGTCTGTGCTGTAGTCAAAACTCCCGATGTGGGGGGAGCAAGTACAGTCTCTGATAACAGACTTGGTGCTTCTTTTCCACTCACTTTTACTCTTAGATGGAATTTTAAGAATACAAAACCTGTGTCTGGGTTAGGTGGACAAATGGGGATACAATTTAACATCATAATCAACCTAGGACAATCCCAAAGCTGTTATGTTCTATGGTTTGAAACCTTGTGCCTTCTGTGTACATGTTTGTGTAGTTATGGCATCAGGGTTTTTTTATGCTTTTATGCAGGCCTAAAGGTAGAAGTGACTCACTGTGGGACAATGAGAAGGAAGTACCGTGTCTGTAACGTAACAAGACGGCCTGCAAGTCATCAAACGTAAGAGGCTTTTTGTCAGAGCATGAAATGTGTGATAGTTTCACACTGAGTAACAGGACCTGATATTCCATTAATTTTGGGACAATGTTATTTGACAACTAATATTTTACTAACATGTCTGTCTTCTCAGCTTTCCTTTACAGCTAGAAAATGGCCAGACTGTGGAGAGGACAGTAGCACAGTATTTCAGAGAGAAATACAACCTCCAGCTGAAATACCCTCACCTTCCTTGTCTGCAAGTGGGACAGGAACAAAAACACACCTACCTGCCTTTAGAAGTAAGAGCCTTACTCTGATTGATCAGCTGGGTTTGGATGGGTTCTATCAGTTTGCAAAACATTAAGAATTTATGCTCTTTGCAATACAAATGTGTTCACAGGTTTACATGTTCAACCCTCTTAATTTCAGACTAAAGAATGTCTGTATCCTAAAGTGCTTTAAAGTGTAGAAATACAAGAAAGAACAGGAAGTTGCTTAAACATGTTGGGCTTGTGGTTTATAGTGACAGCAGACTGTGGTGTGTGTACAGTGTGATGTGATCTGAGTGCTTCTGATGTGAATCAATGCTTCTGATTTCCCCGTGCAGGTGTGTAACATCGTGGCAGGCCAGCGTTGTATCAAGAAGCTCACAGACAATCAGACATCAACCATGATAAAAGCGACAGCCAGGTCTGCCCCAGACAGGCAGGAGGAGATCAGCAGATTGGTGAGTGCCCCAATCCCAGCTCCATGGAACACTGGGCTGGATTATATCCATGCAGAACTTCCTAGTCTTTTCATTCCTCCTTGTCCTTTAGCTGAATAGATTTTAACTACATTTTTAATAGGATGTATTTAAAATGGCCTGCAATGATAGTATGATTACAGGCTCTTTCTTGCATTATTATCTCTACAACTAATTTACTGTGAAGAAACACTCAAAAAAATCCTTTAGAACGAACAAACTCCAAATGAGCACTTGCATAATGAAGGGAACAGAAACCATCTCATCCAATATATCTAATGGTAGTAATTGTTTTCATTTGGGATGGGTTGATAGTGCTGAGCAGTCAATTCTGAGCCTTTTTCAATGAAATTGTTGTAAGAACACTTCTGCAATGTTCCTGTTAGCCTATGGCTTGTTATATGGATTATAATCAGATAACATGTAAAATAACATGTACATTTCCATGTAACATGGAAAAATCTCTCCTAGGTGAGAAGTGCAAATTATGATGCAGATCCATTTGTCCAAGAGTTCCAGTTCAAAGTGCGGGATGAGATGGCCCATGTGACAGGACGTGTGCTCCCAGCCCCGATGCTGCAGTACGGAGGACGGGTGAGGCTTTGGCTTTTCCTCTGGTTTCCTTTTTGAGGAGTGATTTCTTGTACACCTTGACTCTACAGGGATCAGACTTTGAATAATAAACTCTTCTTTGTTATCCTGAAACTGCAAATAGCACTGGCTGCTTCTTTTTCAGTTGCTTGAGTGTCTGTTGCTTTTGTTTCCCCAGAATCGAACCGTGGCAACACCAAGCCACGGCGTGTGGGACATGCGAGGGAAACAGTTCCACACTGGGGTGGAGATCAAGATGTGGGCCATAGCTTGCTTTGCAACACAGAGACAGTGCAGAGAAGAAATTCTGAAGTAAGGCATGTTGTGGTTCAGGCTTTGGACTGTTCTCTTAATGGAGTGAAACATGAATGTAGGATTTCAATGAGCATTTTACCTGGGTTCAATGTGAGATATTAGGGTGAGAATCCGAACTGGTGTGCTTCTGTGCTGGAAGCTACAGTCAAAACACTGTACTGGGTACACTGTGGGGTGTTTGTCCTGTGACATCACTGTATATAGTCCCTTCTGACATCTTGAACAAAGTACTGAAGGTGTCTAGACTATTTTTTAACCCATTCTGGCCTGTGGCATTTCACAGCTGTACAGCCTTCACATAACAAACCTTTTTTTAAATGCTGCTTTAAAAGCTCTTTGGAATCATCCTCCTTTGATGGTTCTGTCCCTTTGTGCGTTCTCATGTACTGTTGCTACTGCAAAAATCCAAAAATCTCCTCTCTTCAGGGGTTTCACAGACCAGCTGCGCAAGATCTCCAAGGATGCTGGGATGCCAATCCAGGGCCAGCCCTGCTTCTGCAAGTATGCCCAGGGTGCAGACAGCGTGGAGCCCATGTTCCGACACCTCAAGAACACCTATTCAGGGCTTCAGCTCATCATTGTCATCCTGCCAGGGAAGACACCTGTGTATGGTAAGGGCACACCTCTGTCTGCACCTGTTATGTCAGGTATCATTTGGAGAAATCTGCTGCCCAGCATATGTTAAAAATCACTCAGAACCATCCCTTAAGTATTAGAAACCACTGTTTTGTGTTGGAAGATAAATTGGAAGCAGGTCTGAGTATGCAGATAAGTTAGAAGTTACTGCAGAGTATGTACTCTGAAGTTATTGTGACTTAGCTAAGATAGAAATGCAGCAATAACCTTGAATGGACTCAAGTTGTCTCCTTGTATTTGCTTCCCAGCGGAGGTGAAGCGCGTGGGAGATACACTGCTGGGAATGGCCACACAATGTGTTCAGGTCAAGAACGTCATTAAAACATCTCCACAGACCCTCTCAAACCTGTGCCTGAAGATTAACGTTAAACTAGGAGGAATCAACAACATCCTTGTACCTCATCAACGGTAAGACTCTGGAGATTGCGTTGGGTTTTCTTTTAACAGATGTGGTTACATTTGCTGTTTAGCACCCAAAATTTAAATGTGGCCAAGTTTTAAGTTAAAATAGTCTTCTGATAATAGTATGTGGTATTTGAAGTAGAATTAAATTCCTTCCAGCACAGGCTCGGAGTGGTGGTTGGTCTGTGCATTAGGTCTTCAGCCAAGATTCTTGTCAAATGTTTGATCACTATCAAAGCTGAAATGAGGAACAGTTGTGTGAGGAAGAATATTTTAAAGGCAGTGTAAGACCATCCTGGTGCTCAGATACTGGAGAACAGTGTAATGTGTATGCTGGTGCTATAGCTCAGTGGTGCCCAGGGGACCCCCAGGGCCTCTGAAGCCCCTGGCTGTGCCACTCCACTGAAGGCCTGAGACTGCTCCCCACCAGAATCATGCCCCAGTTCTGGCAGTGTGTTTGCAGCGTGTTTTGGGCTCTGCTGGGGAGGGTTCCAAGTTCACCTCTTGTGCACAAAGATCCCATTGCTGAGCCTTGGCCCAGGTACCTGATAAGGCTGAGACACAAACAACCCCCACAGTGAGTAATGACCTTGCGGCAGCTCTTCAGCTACAAGTGTGACTTAGCACTTTTTTCTTTTTGAAGACCTTCTGTGTTCCAGCAGCCAGTGATCTTTTTGGGAGCTGATGTCACTCACCCTCCAGCTGGAGATGGGAAGAAGCCTTCCATTGCTGCTGTAAGTTTTATTAAGTTTACATGGTATTTTTTTCATCTTGGGTAAATGTTAGAACAGTAAATGCAACTCATGGACTATATCTGTATCAAATACTTTTCAGGGTTTATGCCAGTTCTTTGTACAGATTCCCAATGACATTAAAAACCATGTATTTAAAAGGAAAAAACTGCCTGATACTTCAGAGTGGTTCCTTAGCTCTTTAATTTTTAAATCAAGGTAAAATGGCATTGTTAAATAATATATTTCAGCAGAAATACTCTCAAGGAAATAACACAGCTTGGTGACATTAGCTAGTAACATTTTTTGTCTTTTTAAAGGAGAAAAGTGTAATTAAAGGCCTGATTTGGCAGAATTTTTTTTGATATTTCTTACCTTTTATGTTGGTACAGTCCAGGAACTCAAGGTGGTGATTGGAGGCTTGGTCAATCCTCTCCTACTTCGTCCCCTTGGTATTTTAGTTGTCATTGATTGCAGTTATGGAAACTGCATTTGTGTTTAACTAAGGGAGGTTTCTCTCAGTGTAAAAGGTGAGAAAACATCACAGAAAAAAAAGTCTGTCTGGATTATAAAACTATGCCATAGTGAGAAGACAAATTCTGCAGGTGCATTTCAGGATGCTTGGGGGCAAAAGGTGTTAAACCTGTACCAAATACAAGTTCCTGTTGAAAGTGTTACTGTGGTTGTTGTCTAGCACAAATATCTTGTACTTGCTGCTCTTGGCTTTTTTGTTTTTAATTGTTTTGGTATAGATTTGATCTTGAAGCCCCTTCCCTGCTGCACTCTCCCTGCAGGTTGTAGGCAGCATGGATGCTCATCCCAGCCGGTACTGTGCCACGGTGAGAGTCCAGCGGCCCCGGCAGGAGATCATCCAGGACCTGGCCTCCATGGTCAGAGAGCTGCTCATCCAGTTCTACAAATCAACACGGTTCAAGCCCACCCGTATCATCTTCTACAGGGATGGGGTCTCTGAGGGACAGTTCCGACAGGTTGGTTCAGTTTCTTGAAGGTTTCTGTTACTCCGTAATAGTTGCAGGTCTTGTTTTGTACTGTTTGAGTTGCTTACATTTACACAAAATAATTGAGACTTTTAAGGAGAGAGATTTTTTATCTTGTTGGGTAAGAAGAGTTGCAGCTGTTTTCCTGTCTGGGAAGGAGAAGTCTACAAATTTGGGAAACCACATATCTCTAAGTACTTTCTGAGATTACCAGCTGTGTGCTAAAGTTGTGCCTACTGTTAACTACACCAAGTTAGGTGGTGTATATAGGATAGAATGGAAAGAAAACCTAAATTCTTCTGTTCTTGTGCTTGTAGGTTTTGTATTATGAACTGCTGGCCATTAGAGAAGCCTGCATCAGTTTGGAGAAGGATTACCAGCCTGGAATAACCTACATTGTGGTGCAGAAGCGACACCATACACGGCTGTTCTGTGCTGACAGAACAGAAAGGGTAATCACTGCCCTCTGAGGAGCCTTTTGGGAAAGCTTCATGTCAAGCTTTTAGGCTGCTGGAGAAAATATTAGCATGGGCTTCTGTCCTTCTGGTTGAATGTGCATGCAAGGAGGTGTTGATTTGATAAAATGGGGCCTCAAATTGAAAAATCATTGACCTTAAGTATGTTAAAAACCCTCACAACCTTTCATTGGAGCTAAAGTCCATGTGACTACTTGGAACCAATCTCTAGCAGTTGTAATAGAAGAAAGTACAAAATGGTGGAACCTTTTTTCTGAGTTAGTCAATCCAAACTGAAGCTGACAACTCTAAATACAAATATCTGTGCAGCTCTTCAGTCTGAGCCAGAAAGTTCTGATGCGCTGGAGGTGCAGTGTTGTGTAAAGTGCTGGAGAGCCATCCAGTGTCCTTGTCAAATCTCCGAGGCTGATGTAGTGGCACGTTCCACACAGTTCTGTGGCACTTCATGTGCTGAAACCTTGCCAGTGGTGAATAGAAGCTTGCATTTTTCATTACAGTTGAGCTGTTACAAACAGCTGAGGCCACACTTACCAAACCTCTTCTCTAGGTTGGACGCAGTGGCAATATTCCAGCTGGGACAACTGTAGATACAGACATTACACACCCCTACGAATTTGATTTTTACCTCTGTAGCCATGCTGGAATACAGGTATGGTCGCTTTGTGTAAGTAAATGTGAATTTAGAACACATTGTTTTTCTCCTTTTTGTGACACCTGATTACAGTTATTTAGCAGGGAAATGTTCTTTTAGCTTGGTTTTATCTGAGATAAAACATTTTTGTGGGACTTGGAGAATGATTTGCTTAAGAGGTGGTCTCTGCTACATGTTTAAATTTGCACTGATGGTAAGTGGTGCTTTTTAAAGTTTGTGTTTAAAGAAGCCACTTTATTTTGTAACATTATTTCTGAAAAAAAAGATTTCAGCTTTTATCAGACTCTTGCTTAAAATGTAAAAAGAAATTTGTTCTGTAGATTTTTATCATGTGAGTCTGACCGCATTGTCATCAGTTTTGTTTAGATTGGCTGGGCATTACTTCTTTTCCAGTTTTGAATAATTTCAGTGGGTTTTTTGTCAATCTTTACATTGTGTCTGAGGAAGCTGGTTTTGGCCCCTTGGAAAAAGAAATTTATTGAAATTGCAGCTCATTGTGTTTAATATAGCAAAGCATAAACAACCTCAACTAAATTGATACTTCAGGTGTATTTGTTTTAAAAAGAGAGACTTTTAGCTTGGCTAAAGCACAACTATTTACCCAATTCAGGTGCACTGTAAGATTTAACTTGAGTTTCTAGTGTTCATACTTGCAATTAGGGTGCTCAGGAGCTGGAGGGATGTAAAAGCACTGGTTATTTCTCTGAGATGTTTCTCTGTGAGAAACAGTTTAATTGAAGGTAGGTAAAAGATGCTGTAATTGTGGTTTAGTCATGTTGGGAGCAGATGCTGATCGCTGAGGGTTATGTAGAAGGGGTTTTATCCAAGCAAGAACATTTAGAGCAATATAGTCATGTATATGTTAGACTTACTCATCTGTAAATACATTTAGGCCTGACATAAAACTGAACTTGCTTGGCTGCTGTTATGTAGGAGCTCACGCTAGATAGTCTGGCCCTTTCTGAACATCAAAACCTGGCTTGTTTATGGAAATCCAGAGAAGTGACCCTCCATCCCCATCTCTGCAGGGAACCAGCCGTCCCTCCCACTACCATGTCCTGTGGGATGACAACTGTTTCACAGCAGATGAGCTGCAGCTACTGACGTACCAGCTGTGCCACACATACGTGCGCTGCACCCGCTCCGTCTCCATCCCCGCGCCTGCCTACTACGCTCACCTGGTGGCATTCAGAGCACGCTACCACCTCGTGGACAAGGAACACGACAGGTAAATCCCAGACTGTGCTCAGGGTTTAGTCCCTGCTGCTCTCCTCTACTGTCAGGCCTAAAGACACCTGAATACAGGCGGTTCCTGCTGGTCTTGCACTTAGTTTTCGTTGCCTCTAGGACTGATGTTAGATCATCGCTCCTGGCAGCTGCTGCTCTACATCAAACCAGTGTGGGTTGGTGGATTTTAATGAATAACACTCAGATTAAAAGAATTCAGCTACTGAAGTATTTAGTTATGACTCTGACGTGGTCTGAGGGAATCAAGCCATGGATTTAGTTTTTTTGCTATAGGATCAGAGTAGTCATGAATGAACCAAATGTTAAGTGCTTCCACTTATCTAACTCTGTACGTCAGGAATATTTTATAACCTTCAAGCCATCAGTGTATTTATAAAAAGCTTATTTTTAGCTGAACAAGCTGAGTAGCCATGGTGAAGAGATTTGTCAAAAGCTTCAAGGTTGCTGGGTGAACACGAGTTGATACTTCTCAATGTCCAGTTCTGACACTCATGCTGTGTTGGTGAAGGGTCTGGAAAGTCAGTCCTTTGGGTAGCAGCTGGGGGGGCTCAGCCTGGAGAAAAGGAGGCTCGGGGGGACCTTCTCAGTTGTAGAGACAGGAGGGTGCAGCCAGGGCTGGTTGGGCTTCCAGGTAACAAGGACAAGTCATGGGGAAACAGCCTCATGCTGTGCCAGGGGAGGGTCAGGTTGGACATCAGGAGGGATTTCTCCACAGAAAGGAGAAATTTGCATTGGAAGGGGGCTGCCCAGGGAGGTGGTGGAGCCCCATCCTTGCAGGTGTTCAAGAACAACTGGACATGGCACTCAGTGCTCAGGGCTGGGTGATGCGGTTGGGATCAATCACAGGTTGGACTTGATCTTAGAGGTCATTTCCAGCCTCAGTGATTCTGTCAAAGAGATGCAGAAGCAGCTTTTTGATCCAAATTAATACAATTTACAGCCCTGCCTGTCTCTCCCTCGTTCCCTGCAGTGCTGAAGGGAGCCACGTGTCAGGACAGAGCAACGGGCGAGACCCGCAGGCCCTGGCGAAGGCTGTACAGATTCACCAAGACACCTTACGCACGATGTACTTCGCTTAAGTCAATGACCCGGGAGACACTCACAGAGAGGAGAACTGAGAACTTAAGCCACATACAATGTATGTTTCCAGGGGGTTGGTTTAGGGGCTGTGCCTCCCATCGTGCTGGAGCTGACGCTGTGCAGGGGCGAGAGGCTCACCCTTAAATTGACACAAGGAAGATTGTTTACTTCATCCAGGAACACAGCACTATTATGCAATATGAAACCAGCCAACTGCTTTTTTGGGGCGGGCTCCTGTGGGAAGCACCGCCATAATTTTTTTTAATTATTATTTCTCGTAGTTTAACCCTCTTCTGCCTTTACCTCAAGTTGCTCGGCAGCACAACTATTGTTGCAAAAAAAATAAGTAATAATAAACTAAAATCTGTTGTGTAATTTAAAACAAAAAACAAACCACCTTTTAGGAACAATCACAGTGATTGTTTGGAGAAGGGAAGTGTGCAAAAAAGAAAATAAGTTTTTAAACCCCATGCATTGAGGAATCTTTCTCTCAGTATTGCCATCGAGCATTCGAATGTGTGAACATATCCAAGTGCATTGGAATGCAACACTAGCTAGGAAGCAGTGAGTGGGGGAAGATGTTTTGCACACTAATCCAATAATTTGAACCTAATTTAGCCAACGGCTGCCTTTGTGTCTTTTCTCACAGCTTTGGAGTTCCCAGCTCCAAGAGTTCCCTTTCAAAAGCAATCCAAGAAGCTCGTGGTTCATGTGCAGGCAGTAGTGACCCAACTCTTCTTGCTCCCTGGGGGAATTTACTAAAGCTGCTGTTTTACCTAGTCCAAAAGTTTCAATTTTTTCCTATCTGGCGAGTCAAATCTGTTGAAGCTTCATGTAAGATTCGATGTCCCAGGTTTTCTGGGATGACATACAGTAATCACCAGAACTGAAACTTTAGAGCTAAGGTCTTTTTGGAAAAAAAAGAAACCTGCTACTTTACTTGCTGCCTCTCACACCTTAATGTGATTCATATGTATGTGTGTTTGAAGTTTAGCTTCCTTTTGTTTCTTTTATATTTATTAGAATAATAATAATGCTTTAATTTAATTATTACAGAACATATGGTCAACAGCAACTTTTATTTTTTAGAAATGTAATCATGTTTATTTTTAAAAAAAAGAAACTGACAACTTGTTTTGCTATCTTTTAGTGCAATAAGCATTCTAAAGAAAAACTGTGTCCATTGAGCTGTACTGAAGCACTGTCTGTACCACGGACTGTGGGAGAATGGACACCTCCAGGATTTTAAAAGGACAAAGTAAAAGCCTTAATTTTGAAAGGAAAGTTTTATAGTCAGAAGGAATCTTGAATTTTCCTTTTTTAAATCAAAAAAAATACAAAAAATGCTTCTAGACTTCTGCAAGCTTTACTTGTTGCTGCAGTCTTTTGATTTAACAAAGGAATTGGCCTTATTTTTGGCTTTGAAATGTGGAGCATATTTGAATTAAATGGACAGGGTTTTGTATTAAGAGCTCAGTTTTTACATGCTTAGTTAAACCTATTTGACATCAGTAAAATGTCTGGAACTAATAAAAGTTTTTAGGCTTTTTTCCTCTTTGATAGTGACTTTCCTTTTAAAATTAAGTTATTGGTAACTTCATTTCACTTTGCAAATAAAGAGGGCTGGGATAGTTCTAACATGTTAAATTACTGAAATGTGAAACAAACCAATGGGACTCTTTCATTCCACTTTAAAACCAATGTTTAAGATGTCAGAGACGAGCGTTTATTCAACAAGGGGACTGGGTAGTTTTGCACTTTGTAAACTTGTGAACTGCATTTTTGACTGTTTTTATTTGCACTGGTTCATAGTATATTTACTGCAGCTGTTTGTATGGGCATTGCTGTGATCCCAGCCCTCCCGACCTCCACCTGCTCTCACATGAAAACCTGGTTGGTCTAAGTAGCTTCTCTCCTCATTCTCAACAAATCAGCTGTTTGCCAATATACTGTGTTTTGAGCCTAAAATCTGAGCCCATTTTGCTTCACCAGGCATGAACCCCCTTTTTTCTGCCAGAAAAACCAAGTACTGTATTTTGTGTGTTTGTATATTGTATGAAAATGTCCATAGTGCTGTTCACAACACTGTCTGCAAGAGCTTTACTAACAGCTGATGTAGATACCTATTTTATCTCTCAAAACCAAGGAAAATAATGTAAAATACTAATTTGGCAAAGCTAAAATTGCACTGGAAACAGTGGTGGGGGTGGGCATGACTGGGGTGCTCATAGGGGAGGTGGGGGTGGCTGGGGGGCTCAGCAGGGCCCCAAGGGGTTGGGGGCCCCCAGAGCCAGGGGGTCCCAGCTCAGAGTGCCCTGTCCCTGCGAGTGCCTTAGGACACACGTGGTGCAGGGAGGAGGCTGCAACCAAGTCCTTTGAGTGAGGTGGTTTCTCAGTGAGTCTCTGAGATGTTTTTTCCAGTCTGTGGCCTGACACTTTTCTCCTAAAGCTCTCTCAGTAGCAGAGCCGTTTGTAAAAGGTTCAGCTTAAGCTTTATACAGAAATTTCTTTTGCAACAGAGAACTTTTTTTGTTAAAGAAAACAATTTTACAAAGAGTTCTTGTGGACTTCTGGCATTTAGCTGAAAATTCCTTTTTACAAAGCCTTCTAACTCTCCTTTCAAAGCTGCTTCTCATCCTGCCCACACTCGGTGACTCGGATTTGAGAAGCTTTTTTGCTCCCTACTTTCACCAAAAACTAAAGAAACTTCATTGGCAAAGTGACTTCAGTTTTCAAGGTAACATTGTACCTGGTTTTCATGTGAAGAGTATTTGGAAGTTTTAATCTCTCCTTAGTTTTGCAAATATCTTCGTCAAGTGCCGATACTTTGTATTACGATATCAAGTTACTGACGTTGTGAGGGCCACACATTTATGACGCTGTAGCTGCTATATTTATTTAAATGGAGATGGACAATTACTGCACTAAGGAATGAGGAGAAAAGCAAGGAATCAAGGTTAGTTAGATATCTTGGGTTTTTTTCAAAAGAGAATTAATGGTGTGAAATATCAAGTGTAACAAAGGGTGCTGTCATTTTAACTGAGATTAAATAGCCAGATATTCTTCTTTTGTTTAAAAACATATATATTTTGATGTTTGCAGTTTGGGGGTGGGGGGTCGGGATAAATGGTACCTCATCTGTGGTGGCAGTTTCCAGTATATTTTCAGAGTATATGGATTTCTTTTATTTTTGTACCTGCTCTCCTTGAAAAAGAAAAAGAAAAAAAAATCTCAAATTTTATGTGCTGTTTGAGGAAATCTTGAGTGGCACAGCAGATCCCCCTCTCCGGCTGGGAGCTGGCTGTGGATAGTCCAAAGAGGGTTATGGGCACAGGCTGATGGCTCTTCTTGTTTTGCAGACACCGGCCTCGGGTTTCTGCCTGTGGAGAAAAGCAGTTCCCGTCTCCTCAGACACTGCATTGAGACCTCACTTGTACTGAACAAGTGCCACTAAGTGCTCCCATGGTGGGGGCAGCCCCAGGGTATCACCGAGCCCCTCCTCATGCAGTCAGCCCTGCCCAAACCTCCCACCTGGCCACTCTAGATCCAGGGCTGGAGAGAATCATAGAATGTTTGTGGTTGAGGTGTTAAACTCGCGACATTTGCCAACAGGAGGAGTGACTCCACTGTAAGTCGCCTTTTTCCCTTTCTAGGGACCTGAGCCGTGGCCATTTGACTCAGGATCGCTGTGTCACTGTTCCGTGTGTCATCTGGTTACACGTGTCCAAAGGTTATTTTTATAGGATTCATTCCAGTGTTCTTTTGGGAGTTTGGCCACAGAAATGGTTTTCAGGAGTAAAATGGGTTTCTGGAAGTTGTCAGTCAAATTATTTCAAGATGCTCTTGGTCCTAAATGATTTTCACTTCTTTATGTACAAATACTTGTCCTATAAAATGCTCAACATGAGATACCATGTAGTCTACTGTAAAAATTCCAGCTACAAATACTGGTTTTCTACTAGTCTTAAAGTTCACTCTGGTGAAATTCCAAGCTCAAGCTTGAGGCCTTGTTTTTTTTTCTTCCCCCTTTTCTTATACTTTCTTCATATCTTGTCCACTTTTGGTATTTTCTCTGTTTTGTGAACTGAGGGTTTAGAACCTTATTCAAAGCACTTTTATAACTAAGGAATCAAAAGCTCAGATTATGTATGTTGGACCTGTAAATTCAATTTTCAAACGTGGTCGTTTCTAAATGGCCATCGTGGTCTCTGGTCAGGCCGGGCAAATGCTCTGTCCCTTTCAGTGCTGTGGAGTTTCATGGCTGCTACTGGCAGGTTGATTTGATCTAGTGAAAAATTCCATAGGGTTGTCAAAGGGAAAGATTTCTGTCTGTCTTTTCTACCCAAAGATGGTACTTTAGGTTGATGCTGTGTGTTCGGAATATCATTTTTGGTTTGGCACATGTTGAAATCAAACTTCACTTAGCCAGTTCACTCCTTGTTTTTGTAAAATATCGTGGTTAGAGCTTGAGCTCGTTGATGCTTTCTGCTGGTAGAAGATTTTGTACTTTCTGTAGCTGAGGTATGAGCAAGATTGATACAGGATCCTACATCTTACTTCCCAGGCAGAATCTTAAATTTCCGATCTTCATGACACCCAAATTGTTGTCCCCTGAGTAGACAAAGGTGCATGTGGAGAGGAAGTAATTGTAAGGGAGAGGCGTTCAAGGGAAAATATCAAAGCATTGGTTTGGCAAGAATGAGAGTGTTGGGGAGACTCCATCCACTTTCCATCCCACTTGCCCTGGCCTTTTACATCCTGTCTGAGGTACCCCCTCACCTGACATGGGTCAGGACCGTAGGGTCCTTTTCAAACAAAGCAGTTCCACTGTTTAAAACTTGGAGTGACTTTTATTTTTTTTAAGCAAGACAGTCCTCAGAAAGTGCCTTTTTAGAAGATGGTGCTGTAGATTTTTATTTTCCAGTTGTACGTGGCTGCAAATTTAAGATAAATTATTGAAAATGCCAAGTGTTTGATGGTATCTTTTAGGTACTTTCAAGCATCAGTTTCTCTGAGTCAGGACCAAGAATGACCAGGAAGGTGTTTTCCTTTGGAGGGAGAGGCATTGAGGAACGATCACCAAATTCAGCTGGTAGGCTGTAGTTAGGTTTGGTTTGGTCTATGTGATTTACCTCTTCATATTGAGGGGGCTGGGGGTTTGGGGTGTGGGAGAAGCCGTGGGGACATAACTGGTGCCGAGAGGAATCCATACCTCCCGAAGAATATCTTCTCTTAGGGGAAGCACATTCCCAAAGATGGAGACAAACTGAAGGGTGTCTTTGAAAGATGTCTTAAGGATGGCCTGGGAGATGGTTGGTCCTCACATGGCTTGTGTGTGTTCAGGATGGGTCAGTGGGTCTTCTGATTGCCAGCTGAGATCTGGATGGGAGCAGCTTGATGTCTGGGCAATGCCACAGAGGGGGTGGGTCCATGGTGAGTTTGGTGAGCGTTCCTGCAATCAGGAAAAGCTGTAGACTAGACTATTAAACACTGCACCTCAGTAACCTTGTAATGCTGCATAAAGTAATAATAATAGCAAAGTTGTGCTTTGATGACACTGTAATGTGCTTGCACATGCCTGCAAAAAACACTTCCCTTTCTTTTGGTATTGGTCTGAATAGCAGTTATGGGACTTTTCTTTTATGATGAGCCTTGTCCTTTGTTGTGGTGTTTCTATATATTTATTGGTGGTCTGTGTGCAGCTCAGTCTGTGTGTCTGCTAAGTCTGTGTGTCTGCTCTGTGTGTTGCTTTTAACACTTATTTTTAGGCAGGAGAAGTTTCTGAGTGTTTTGGTTTTCTTCTCCAAAGAAAGTTGGCTTAACCAGTTGTGTTTGAGAGGAGACAATTAACCCGCTTGCCATAGACAAGTGCTTGCAAGGTACCTTGTTTCTCTACAACTAGAATGATTTTGTGCATTTTATTACTGTTTATAGTGTTGGGCATTCAAGATGTGGAATAACTTGATGTCAGGATATTTTTAAATATCAGGAGCTTAGCCACAGAACTCACTGAGTAATTCCAAGTGGTCTCTTTGCAGGAATATGTTCATGTCCAGATTTTGTAGGAGCAAGCAGAACTTCTGGCATAGTCAGCAAAATACATGGGGTTCAGAATCCCAGCACTGGGCAATGCCCTTGCTGAGTTGCTCACACCTTGTTCAGGGGATGCTGCAGCTCCCCAGGCACAAGTTGACTCTCTGCTCTGCAATTTCTTCTGATTAAAGTTTGAGACATGATCCAATGTCTCTTGTAGCTTGTACCAACTTTCTTGTCTTATTGCAGTGCCCAATGCCACTGTGTTGGTATTTAAGCTTGCCATGATGTTCAATTATTTTATATTTCCAATTTCTCAATGTTATTAGGCTGGGGTTTAGAAAGCATTTTTCAGTCTAAATTCTGAGCCAAAACTGTGTCTCCTGACCCTTTTAGTTGTAGCTGTTTCTATCTTTTAGACTAAAAAGGGCCAAAAACCTTGTACCATCAGCTTGTTTGCAGCAATATTCTCCATCTCCTCCCCTGTCTGTCAACCAGCTGCTTTGTTTCATTTATACTGGATCTGTATATTCCTTCATACTGAACCTGTTGAGATTTAGAAGGAAAGTTGGTGCCTTTTCTTTCTATCAAAAGGAATGAACTTGCACCTGATAAAGCAGTTTTTTCTGTTGGACACAAATCTCTTGCCTTGGTGTCCATGAGCTGCCACATGGGAAGTTAATTCTAGTAGAAGTGTTTCTGTTGCTGTTGTTGGAGGGTGCATGATGGTTTAAAGTATCCAAATTAAATAAGAGCTAACAAATCACTAAAAATAGACATTATTAAAATACTTTAAAATTTAAAAAACAAAAACCCAGCAAACCAAAACACAACAAAGGAGCAGATGCAGGTGGACAGGGAGGACCTTCTCAAGGAGATGGAGAACCTGTGGGACATTGAGATCCTGTGGCTGTTGGGACAGGTCTACAAGGGAAAGAAAAAAGGTGGAAGAGGCTGAAAGGGCAGACTCAGAGTAACAGAGTGCAGTAGGAGTTATTCAGACTTTAAAAATTACCAAGTGGGAAAATCAAAACAGAATATTGATGCTAATGAAGAAGCAGCAGAGCCTCCTTTGCCTCCTGTAGGAAATGAAAAAGCAAAACTTGACAGTTGGTATTTTCCTTCAGTACCCTTCAGTAATTAAAAAGGCCTGTAAGAACGATGGGAG